TCCACTTTATCTTCCAGTCTTGATACTCTGTTTTCCATTTCGTTCATCCTATTTGTGAGGCTTTCTCCTGTCGTTTCTAATTGGCTTATGGAGTGTTTCACTTTGTTCTTTATTTCAGCCTGAGTATTCTTCAATATTTCTAGCTCTTTTCTGAATTCATTCAGAAGTTTATCCCTATCTTCCTTCATCTCTATGATTACCTTGTTTGTGTGTTCTTTAAATTCACTGAATTCTTGTATCATATTCATCATTGTTCTTTTGAGTTCCATGTCCTGCATTGTCTCTACGGGGTTCTCACTGTGCTCCTCTAGAGGATTACTGGTATTTGGTGGGGTTATGTTATTTTGGTTTTTCATGTTATTATTTTTTCTCTGTGATTTTGACATATGAATTTCTTTTATAGTTTCTGTTTCTTGTGTGAGACTCAAGCCTCCAAGTTTAGGTCTGCTTCTTTTTTTGAACTTTATGTGTCTTTGTGGTTTACTTTTTGGGCATGAAAAGCTGATTCCTCTAAGCTTCCTGTTCTCTCTTTTGATTTTATATTGGAGTGGCCAGATTGCTTTTGTCTTCAGGAGTTCCCACAGAGGCCCAAGTCAGATGAGGATCAGATGCTCTCAGGCTTTCTCCTAAGGTCTGGATCCCTCCAGCAAAGATTCTGGCCTCAGGAATTTGGGGGCTTGACTGGCCTGGGAGCCAGGCCCAGGAAACATGCTCGTCTAGGGCAGCTGGTGGCTGTGCCATCCAGCAATGCAAAGGAAGATGGGGGCGGGAAGTGGCCCCAAGGATTCCTGGGGAGTGCACTGAGGAGCTGGGTTAGTCTGGATGCAAAGGATCAGAAGAGGAAAGGTCAGCCCTGGCGTCCAGGAAAGAGGCTGGGGGGTCATGCAGGCCCAGGGAAGTAGAGGGAGGTGACAGCATGGCCAGGCCTAGAGTGCTCCAGGGGACCTGAGAAGGAACTGGGTTGTTCTGGATGCAAAGGATCAGGAAGCAGTGGTGGTTCCCCAGGTGTCTGGGGCTCCAAGACAAGGAATAGGACAGGACCCAGGCTAGGAGGCGAGATGGGTAGGGGAGATGGGGGGGTGAATGAGGCTGAGGGAGTCAAGTTACAGACATCGTGATCGACTTACCCAGGAGAGAGGCCTGCGGGTCGGAGAGTCAATGTATATTTTTACTGAATATTTGGGTTTCATACACTTATTCTTAATAATATTTAGACCTCCCCTTACCCATTCGCAGCCCTCCCCACCAGATTTCATTCATTTTGTCATATATTAAGGCCTATAGAGTCAAGTTTGTATACCCGTGTCTCTTGGTGTGAGTTTATCCACTTGAGTCTAGTCAGCCTATCAGAGTCACTCAAAGATCAACACTTTCAATCACCCAGCAGTAATCAGCTGCTAATAGTTCCTCAGCTAAGTTTGGCCAGCTGCCCATTTTCCTAGTTCTATGCTGAATTTTTGTTTGATTGAGCTCTTACAATCTTCCTGCCTTCTATTTTGCAATGGTCCCTGAGCAATGGGTGGGTGAGATTTAACATAGGAGTCCTATGCAGGGACAACTCTGCAGTCTCTCACTCTCAACATTTTGGCCAGTTGTGACCTTCTGTGTGCAATGTACTCTGTTGCATGAGGAAGCTTCGCTGGTCAGAGTTGAGAGATGCGTTAGAAATCTTTCTATCCCATGTCCACTATGTTCCATGAACCTTAGGTGTAGAGATTCCATTGTAGATGTGTCACTTAGGGCGGGGCATCTCTCAGTGTGTGACCAGTTGTGGAACTCGTAAGTAAGTCTTCATCTGTTGCAAAAAGAAGCTTTTTTTTAAAAAAATTATTTTTATGTGTATGAGTGTATTGCATGTATGTATGTAAGTGTACCCATGTCATGCAATACCCGAGGAGGTCAGAAGAGGGCGTAGGATTCCCCTGGAACTGGAGTTAAGAATGATTGTTAGCTGCCATGTGGGTGCTAGAAATTGAACTTGGGTCCTCTGCAAGAGGAGTCAGTGCTCTTAACTGCTGAGCCAGCTCTCCAGCCCCAATAAAAAGAAGCTTCTTTAATGAGTGGTGAATGGTATACTTGTCTGTAAATAAAAGGATCCACATTTAGTATACAGTAAGAAATTTCATTGTTTAGGTATATGACAGAGGTAGAGTTTTCTTTAGGATCTATGACCTTTCCAGCCATGTGTATTTGGCTATGTTTACAGTCCCACCTATGAGTTCCCTCCCATTGAGAGGGCTGTAAGACCAATTACATAGTTGTTGATTACCTCCAAGATAAATGTGCCACTACGGCACTGATATAGTTCATTATGCTAGCTATTATTGTGATTATTAGGCTTTAAAGCTGGGGTTGGACCACTGATTTTCTCTGTTAGCAGCATGCATAGTATCCACTAGAACTATGAGAGCTAGTCTTCAGGGAGGAGGCTTTCAGGTCAGTTCCAGCTCCATTGCTCCAATCCTGTGTCTGTCTTCAGCAATAGGGTCTTACCTTCAAGTCCATGTATTTTTTCATATTATATATAAATATATCCACTATCCATTTTTCCTCAACTCTCAACAGAGAAGCTTCCTCATGCAGCACACCCACAACTGGCCAACGTACAAAGAACAAGAGAGTGAAGAGAGCTTATGCCTGAACAGGACACTTAAATCAAACTTTTGCCTCCCAAAGCTTTCGTATGACATTTCTATACACATGAACACAAGTATTCTAAATAAATTGTAAGAATGGGGGCTCACGGGTAAGAACACTGGTTGTTCTTACAGAAGATCCAGGTTCAAATCCCAGCACCCACATGGCAGCTAACAACTGTCCATAACTCCAGTCCTAGGGGATTCAACAGTCTCTTCAGACCAATGTGGGCATTCACATAAAATAAAAATAAAATAAATAAAATTGTAAGAATTATTAATGTTAAAAATGAAACACATTTTCTCCTAGTTAGCATGGCTAGAGAATGGGATGTGTCCTGTTAACACTCGTTTGTGATTCCCTTTCACATGTATTGCTTTATTTCCTTTTGTTAAATACACAACTTTATTACAAAGTATTCCAACCATATAGAAAAATAACAGAAACCAGTAACACCACCACACAGTTCTAGGCAATGTTAATATTTTCCCATACCTGCTGTAGCTAATTTAAAAACACAACTTTAATCAGAGATTTGCATACTGTACAATATACTCTTAAAGTATTAAGTAACAGCAATTCAACGCTGTTAGCATATTCATAGTTCAGTGTAACTATATCCTCATTATCAAGTTTCGGACATTTTTACTGATTTTTTTTTTAAAGATTAGAAATATAACTAAAATGTTTAAATAAGTTTAAGGTAAACTTTTAATATTAAAAACAAATAAGCCTAAGTTATTTTTATTATTCAGAAAGGTCTTGGGGCATTTCACAATCACTGGGAAAAATACCAACTATTAACTAATCTGAGTTATGATTATCAGAGATTTTCAGTTAGCAGGAAGCTGAAATTAAGTTTTTATTTTACATTTCTTTTATATACGTAATGTGTGATTTTATATATGTACATTTTGTAAGTTACAACATAAATGACTGGACACAGTTCTTACCTCTGGTGTCCCACAAAAGGTTGTGGTGGTATCAGAAATAGCAATTCCTTCTTTACAAAGCCCAAAATCTGTTAAGACAACATGTCCCTGACAAATACAGGGGGAGAAAATAAAACAATGCATAGACATGAATTAATGTTTTAATTCCTCCCCCAGCTCCCCCCAAAGCAGACTCTTCTATCACTGTGGTGTACTGCAAAATAGGGAACTGGAATGGAACAAAACTGCCACCTGCAATGTTGACCTTATCTGGTGTCACTCTTTTGAATAGGCAAGC